CCTCCCCTGTCCTGGCTTGCTTGCACCAGTTACTGGTTGTGTTTCAGTTCAGGTTCAAGATACTGATACTTACTTACAAAGCCCTGCATGGTTTTGGGCCATGTTACCTGTTCAAGTGCCTCTCCCCATGGCCATCCACCCTTGCCACCAAATCCTCTCAGGTCAGGCCCCTCTAAAGGGCCATGCCCAGGGAGGCCAGAAAAACTTGGACAAGAAGTCAAGACTTCTTGGTGGTGGCACTAACTCTCTAGAATCATCTCCTAATGGAGCTATGCCTGGCCCCCTTCCACTGTAATTTTAAGAGGCTGTTGAAGACTTTCAAGAGGCCTTTGGTGGCAGCTTCTTCTGAATTTGCTTGCCCCTGTATTGCTGCATGGACTTGCTGTGCTATCTGGGCTTAATGTCTGGCTTATTTTAGTCTGTTTTTGTTTGTTTCATGCTGTGCTTGTGTTACTTTGTTGTTTTAATATGTACACCACCCATAATAGCACTGGGCACTAAAAGGGTAGTATTTAAATGTCAGAAACAAACAAATGAACTTTTAAAACCTCTGAATGCTCAGGATCCTGTTGTCCTAGTCATGATATTCTATTGCTAAACTGATTATATTATTTTTCCTAATCGTTAACTTAAAACAGTTTTAAACACATTAACTTAAAACAGTTTTAAACACTGTTCACACACACAGATCCTACACTGGGTGTTGGGAAACTTGGTTTTGGACTATGGTGCAGAGTAATCGGTATGTGTCAGGAGCATACTAGAAACTTCTTAAGCTTTAAGGCTTATTAGGTAAAGGTAAAGGTTCCCCTTGACAATTTTTGTCCAGTCGTGTTCGACTCTAGGGGGCGGTGCTCATCCCCATTTCCAAGCCATAGAGCCAGCGTTTTGTCCGAAGACAATCTTCCCTGGTCACGTGGCCAGTGCGACTTAGACATGCAACACTGTTACCTTCGCACCAAGGTAGTCCCTATTTATCTACTTGCATTTGCATGCTTTCGAACCGCTAGGTTGGCGGGAGCAGGGACAAGCGACGGGCGCTCACTCCGTCGCGTGGATTCGATCTTACAACTGCTTGGTCTTCTGACCCTGCAGCACAGGCTTCTGTGGTTTAGCCCGCAGCACCACCACGTCCCTGCTTAAGGGCTTATTAAGGAAATTCAAATCTGGATGCTTTTTACTGAATAAAGTGTTATGTATTTTAACAAATTATTCTTGAGACTGGTTCTATTCCTTCTGTGCTCATACTATAAACTTATTTGGGAAGCTATTTGGGGTAAAACATTTACCAATTGATAAACAATCTAAGTGAAACCTTTAGAAAATCATGTTACATTGATCAAAATTAAAATCTTCCAGTTTGCATTATACTTCCTTAAACATAAAATGCTCAAAATTGGAGTTTATTGCCAATTTGTTATAAACATAAACAGGAATAATAAACAGTACTATTAATATATGATACATGTATTTGATTCCTCAAATTGTAGCAGGAGCCTGAAAAGAAAGCCGTCTGAAGTGCTTTGCCCCATCTCCTTCAAGGGGAGTGTGCTTTCTTCTTTACTCCTTCCAGTCTGCCAAAATATACTCATAACACTGCTTTGCTTTCTTAACCTCAAGCATCTTTGTCTTATATAACACAAAGAGCAGAGCTCTCAATTTGATTTGCCACCTACACACACAACATTTTCCAGCTAACACACCACTCAAAATCCAGTGGTGTGCTGGAGCTTTCAAATACTGATATATTAAGAATGACAGAAGTCAAGTCTGTTCACCTAAGTAGGGAGAATGTGACCCCACTTTCATTTTGGTGGCATTTAAGAGCCTATAGTTTATCTGAAGCCTTCTGGATAGCTCTGGTTGCAGAGCGAAAGGTTAAGAGTTCAATTCTCCACTGTGTTCTTGAGAGAAAAGTCAACCGGTGTAGCCTTGGGCAAGCTGCACAATCCCAGGGTGCCCCTCAGAAGAAGGGACTAGTAAACTACTTCTGAGTATTCTCTACCTAGAAAACTGTGGAAAACTGTGGTCATCATAAGTTGGAACTGACAATGTAATTATTTTATTCTTGTTCTTTATATGAACCCATTCTGGTTAGAACATAGGATTTTTTTTCCCTACAGTGACTTTCTTGTTGTGATATTTTACACAATATAAGAGACATTCCCACAAAGCTGTGATATACAATATGTGAATAATATCAATCATGATCTATCCAAGGTACATGAATGACAATCTATCCAAGACTTATTCCAGTCCTCAAAATAATCTCCTGGTACAACCATTATTAAAAAAAGTAGTTCCTATGCTAACAGATCAGTTTGATGACTAAGATATACTAGTATAGATGTATGGATAAGCTTTTAAAAGGCAAATATAGATGTCTTTTTTTTTTAATTTGGAAGAAGTAGGATGACCTCTGACAGTGTCCTCCATATGAACATACCCTAAAATATCTTAAAATGTTGATACATGTAAGTTCATAACACTTTGCACATGCTTTTCTCAAGCCAATTAAAACTCCTTCAGCAAATTCTATTTGTTTAGTCCTTCTTCCTTCAGGCAGTGGTCATTTTGTATCAGTGTTGAGTAATGTTAGAAGCAGTATATGGACAGCATCATAACAGTGTACTCAAGTAGGGAAAAGTCTGGACACTCGATGAAGTGTATTTGAAGGTAGGTATGGAAAGACAGAGCAACATTCCGTGCAACACTTATCCTTTCTTCCCTGCATCACAGCTGATAACATTTCACAACTACAGGCACATGGGATCATGCATGATAAGAAGCTTCCGTTCCACTCTCCCCAGCCACAACCTGAAACAGTAGAGAGGAGAAAAATGGAGGGTTCACCACACCCTTCTATCCTCAAGAATTTTTGTCTGAAGTATCGAAAGGGTGGAAAAGCAGTCATAAATGTTGGTGGCCCTGGTATGAGGCATCAAAGAAAGATGATTTTGGAAATCTCTGTCATGTAAATCCAACCATCGGAATACCGTCCCATGTCTCTAAACCCATCTTTCGGAACTACGTACCATATGAACACTGTCCCTTATCTCTGCATTGAAGCCAAGAGCTTTAACAAACATTCCACAGAAACACAGGCTTAATCACCCCTCAAAATGTGGCTGAGTGGAGGAGGGGAGAGATTGGAAAACTTGGGGGGGATTGAATGGTTTAACTTTTCCCAGGCATCTGTTAGGGAAAATTAGTGCTCACCTCCCAGACTGAAATTAAGCTTTGTCTCCAGTTGCAGCAGAGATCTGCCCACTGACTCATCATTCCACCATCTATGCATGATTCACTCACTCGATTGTTTATGAAAATAAACACAAGGTTAATCACAACCCAACATGTTTTATAAGGCATATGTGCACCTATAGAGTGATAAATGTACGCTACTGCTATAAAATAATCTGACTCTACCTACTTGTATAGATTTCACTCTCATTGGATTTTGCTCATTTTGTACTGTCTTCTACTTTAAATTGCACATACTAGCCATTTTTATTATATGAATCCAGTTCCTTCTCCTCTTCTTGATTCCTCTTTGCCCTACATATTTCCTCTGGTTCTTCACACTTGTACAACTACATGTATCCTAAAATCCAGCTGCCTGCACGCAAAAACAGATATTCATGCAAAGTACCCAAGTGTGCCTTTGAACAAACACTAATGCAAGTAAACAAGTACTCTTTGTAGTCAAATCAGAAACATATAACCACAATGTGTGGCAGACACAAAAAAATGCAAACACCCATGGAAGAGTATAAACAAAGGAAAATACGTTACAGACATTTAATGAGGAGAGTAAAGGCACACAGCATTTGTATAATCTCTGATTCCAAAAAGTACATAAACATATACAAAATCTATACATGTGTATATTCAGGGATCATTTACAAGCGACAGCTCAGTCTTTAATCAGCCATATAAACATATTCTGATAAATGAAATATGTGCACTCACACCCCCACCTCACATTAAAGATACTGTACGAGGATCTTTTGCTGTGCTGATCAGGAGATTTGATCAGGTAAAGTGAAGTCACACATGCTTCAAGGAGATTAAAGTGCACATGTAAACTCACAGATGTTCCCATGCACACATACAAACATATTCTTGGACAAACTGACATGTAGCCCAGCCGTAAAAGGGAGAAAGAAAATGAGTTGTATTTGGTTCAAGATGCAAAGCTAAACACAGCCACCTCAGTGTGTCACAAACAATCTCACAGAACCCAACTGACACACACATACTTTCACACTGCCCCAATTCTGTTCTTGTCTTTTTTGTTGTTGTTGTTGTTTCCCTCAGCCGTCTTAAGCACTCTGTAAACATATCTCCTAGTAAAGCAGGCTTTGGGAAAAGACACAGCTGTGGTTGTTATCCTGGACTCCTCTAGGAATTGCTAAACATTTGTTCCTTGGGGGGAAAAAGTGACTTCTCCGGGAAGTTGTTCTTTGCTAGCCATAAACTTCCTAGCGCCTGTCCCTACTTTTTCTGGCTGTGTTTATCTTGGATGCAGCATTAGACACAGGCATGGGCACCAAAATGCATAACAAAAATGAAAACCAAAGACTAAAAAAATATTTTAAAGACTATAAGATATATAACTGGGAATGAGCTTTTGTGCACTGCAATCTGCTTCAAAAGCGAACAATATTGGCAAGTGATTTTAACCCTTCACATCCTAAACTCCCTCACAGGGCTAATTTTAGTAGCAGGTGAAAAATTTTGCCAGCTCCCAGGACTGGATCTTCTTTGCTTGCCTCTCCCTTTTTCTGCACTCTTTCCAGCCTGCACTTTCCTGCTCTCCTGTGAGTTTGTTGTATTGCTCACTCCACTGCCTTTTCTTTCCCCCGCGGGATGCCAGCTGTTCCCATTCTGGTGGAGGGTTTCCATCCCACCCACCCCCTTGCCTCACAGCCTGATCTTCCCATTCAAGACCAACACAGTTCATCCCTCTACCCCCTGCACCACATCTATCCAAAACTTACTTCCCCAGCTCTTCAAAGAGCTGATATTCTTCCGTGAACCGGTTGCAGGTGATGGTTGCCATCCTGGATGGTGACTGCCTCCCCTGGCGTGAAGTTTCACAGGAACACCTCTCTCTCCTCTCCCGAGCGCACACTTGGGTGGGCTTTTCTCCCCTCCTTCAGCTCCTAGTGCTCTTTCCCGCTCAGAGGTAAATAAGCGAATATGGATGATTGACAAGCTGGGAGATAATGATGAGGGCAATTTGTCTTCTCAGCCTCACAAGCCTTCGTCAGCATCCAGGTCACCATAGCAACCACCTCTGGAACGCCCTGGTTCTGTTGCCCGGGCAACTGCTTCCCAAACACCTGCTTGCCCTGCTACTTCCGTAGCTCTCTAACGCCCTGATGCTGTCACTGAGGAAATTACATCTTTGAGCCAGAAAACACAAGATGACTCGAAGGAGAGGGGAAATTTTTTTGGGGGGGGAGGCAATATATAAATATTAAAGCAAATTAAAGTTGTGTAAGGGAGAATTAATTGGGGCAAAAAGGTTACTATGGAAACTGCAAGTTCCATATAGACAGGAGAGTCTTTAGAAAGACAGGATGCTGTTGCCCTGGTAACTGCATCTCCTCCTCCGGAAAGACAGGTATTGCTATGTTGCCGGGGCAACTGCGAGACTTGCGGAGTTTAAAGAAACATTATGCTTCCTTCAGCTAGAGTTACTTTTGGGGGAGTCTGGGACAGAGGGGAAGAAATGGATCTCCCCATCCTCTTGAGTCTTACTGAGGAGCTTTAGAGCTGAATCCCTTTAAAAGGTGACTACCTCAGATTTTCTGAATACGTGTACTGTAAATATCCCACAATAGGAAGCAGTCAGGTTATATCCAGTTCCTCTAGGGGGAGCAGCAAAAACCAATGCAGAATCTGAAAAGGAGAGAGAGAGAAAACCCTTCTGGAAAGCTTTATTCCCAGTGGGGTGTCTGGCCCAGATTTCATCCACTTTCTGTTTTTGTCATTGGAGCTTTAAAAATCACTGAGAGAAAAAAAGGAGGGAGGGAGGGAAGGGGAGAGACTTACCAACTGACTGCATAATGTGCTTGTTATATGAAGCTGCTGTTGAGGAAAAGGATCCAGATGGAGGGACATGTTGCCTAGCAGGCATCATTCCCTGTGTGGGAGTGATTATGGAGTGTGGGCTGTGTTAAGGATCCCGAAAAGCACACAACATATCGGGATTTGTATCTTCTGCCAGTTACTCTGAAAATCCTGCCTCTCAAGCAGTTGGGAATGAGATGAGGCAGTCTTCATGCAGATAAAAGGCCGCCCACACTGGAGCAAATGTATTAAACATGTTTAGGCTTTCCTGCATCTTCCTAAGGTTTGTGAGAACTCTTGTACTGTATATTAGTTCTCCTAAATTAAAGAGCAAATGATTATTTATTTCTTGTTCTATTTTTCAGTACTTGCATTCACGGGAAATGTGAACCTTTATTATTTATTTTATTTTATTTGGTTCTATTTATAGTCCATCTCTCAAAAACTGGGACCCACAGCCTTTCAAATAGAAACATGAAGATCAAAAGATAATTGTTAATGGACTAAGTATGTTGCAGTGGTTGACGTTCTGGACTGGGCCTTAGTTCAATTCCCACCCCTACCCCTGTCTGCCTCAAAGCAATAAAGTTCACAGGATAATCAGGTTTTTTTTTAAAGAGCAAAATGCAACAATGTAGTTTTTAAAATAACTGACCGACCAATATGTCGCCAGATTTGCATAGATGTCTTTCCTATCTATTCCTTTGTACTGTAATTGTTAACTTTCTGTTTAGCCTCTCCATTTCTTTGTTTTTCTTCATCAGCAATTGTGTGCCTGCCATGTGATTGCTTTTATGTTAGCCTTTATCATGTTTCTTCCTGAATCTTTTTTTAAAAATAAGTATTTCCTTTTTACCTTATCATAAACATAAGTGATTACTCTTAATTCATAGTCATCAACTCACTTTAGTAGTCTGTTGCACTCTGCTAATATAACTATCACAAATAGTTTTCTTTTAAAAAATCTCCAATTTATGAAGATGGGATATTGTGCTTCTGTATCCATGATTCAAAACACCAGGAAATGACCCAATATTCCTGCACAATATTATGTCTGGTGCTAACCTTTACATAGAAAATGGCAGTCTGAATGTTGATGAAACCCATGTCAGAAGTCAAAATGGTCCACAGGATATCATCTTGTGCTCACTATCATTTCTTTAGGACATTTTTGTTTTGTTTTGTGGCTCCAAACAATCAGTATTCAGGGAACTTGTTAAAAAACAGCCATGACAATTGCTTTATGTTTGGATGAGAAGTAGTTAGCTGATGAAAAAAGAAGTTCAGTTCTGGTATTTTCCTCTATTTGACTGTCCCTTTTTTGTTTTTATTTTTTATTTTTATTTTTATTTTATTACAAGCAGATACAGAATCCCCTTGATAGCATGATTCTGATAAACCTGTTTGACCAGGAAGGAGTTCATAAGTTAAAAAGTTAGTTAAGTGTCAGCTAATTGCATCCTGATTGCCAGGGTTAAAAGTTCAGATTCCTCCCCACCCCCCCACCCCCATGTAGACCTGATTTCCCCTTTGAAAACTTATGTGAGGAGACTGGCCTCAGAAATCCTGAAATTATGTTTTATATATATACTAAAACTAAATGTTTTATATAAAACTACTAAAACTATATATGTATTGTATCTCCTTCTCTTTTATATTATGTGAGGAAACTGTTTGAAAACTTACGTGAGGAGAGTGTTTGGTCTCAGAAATCCTGAAATAATGTTTTATAAGTCACAGATATCTGTGTGATGCTAAAACCACAAGAAAGAACAATGTTTAAAAGGAGCAGCTAAAAAGGGCACACAATAGAATACAGATAATATAAATAAGTTTCTATAAAAGGCTTCCAAATGTTTACAAATATATCCATATGTTGACATCTATATGCTGTGCATTCACATGCTGATAGAGTTTCAAGGTCTTGAGTCTACTGAATAGCAAGAAGTGGGCATTTCTCTTTTCAATACTCCAATCTTAAGTCATTTAGCCACAATAAGGGCACATACAAATTGCCAGATTTAACTTTCATCAGCGCAGAAATGTAATTTCATTTATTTTTTATGTGTAGACTACAGAGTAAGCTGAAATACAGTGGGGTCTCTACTTAAGAACTTAATTCGTATTGGAAGGTGGTTCTCAAGTTGAAAAGTTCTTATGTTGAATCTGCATTTCCCATAGGAATGCATTGAAAACCATTTAATCTGTATCTGCTCTTTTCCGTCCATAGAAATTACAGTGGAACCTCTACTTAAGAACTTAATCCGTTTTGGAATGGTGTTCTTAAGTTGAAACGTTCTTAAGTTGAAGCAAAATTTCCCATAGGAATGGACTGAAAACCAATTAATCCGTTCTGGCTGTTTTTTTGTTATGTAGAGGTGCGTTCGTACATTGAAGCATTAGTTCCCATAGGAACTAATTCAAAGCTGGTTAATACGTACTCTACCACTAGGGGGAGATTTTTTTTTTAACCTAAGATGACCTAAGGTTAAAAAAAGAGCAGGAAAGGTTTTTTTTCCTGTTCTTATCTTGGATTTCTGTTCTCAAGTAGAAGCAAAATTTAGCAAATGGAGCTGTTCTTAAGTTGGATTGTTCTTAAGTAGAGACGTTCTTAAGTAGACACCCCACTGTAGAGTGAAAATTTAATGTCTGAGTAACCCTGATATCCCCTCCACAAATTGCTGCCTTGTTGTGGCGAAGGGACTGAGTAATTCAGAGACGCTATGGGCTATGCCGGGCAGGGACACCCAAGACAGACAGGTCATAGTGGAGAGTTCTGACTAAATGCGATCCACCTGGAACAGGAACTGGCAAGTATCTTTGCCAAGAAAACCCCATGAACAGAAACAAAAGGCTAAAATATATGACGCTGGAAGATGAGCCCCTCAGGTTGGAAGATGTCCAACATGCTACTGAGGAAGAGTGGAGGACAAGTACAAGTCGCTCCAGAGCTAATGAAGTGGTTGAGCCAAAGCCGAAAGGATGCTCAGCTGTCGACGTGCCTGGAAGTGAAAGGAAAGTCTGATGCTGCAAAGAAAAATACTGCATAGGAACCTGGAATGTAAGATCTATGAACCTTGGTAAGCTGGATGTGGTCAAACAGGACATGGCAAGAATAAACATTGATATCCTGGGCATGAGTGAACTACACTGGACAGGAATGGGCAAATTCAATTCAGATGATTATCATATCTACTATTGTGGGGAAGGATCCCGTAGAAGAAATGGAGTAGCCCTCATAGTCAACAAAAGTAATCCATGTTTATGCACCACCTGTGGATGCTGAAGAGGCTGAAATTGACCAATTCTATGAAGACTTACAACACCTGAACTGACACCAAAGAAAGATGTTCTTCTCATTATAGGGGATTGGAATGCTAAAGTAGGGAATCAAGAGATAAAAAGAACAACAGGTAAGTTTGGCCTTGGAGTTGAAAACGAAGCAGAGCAAAGGCTAATAGAGTTTTATCAAGAGGGCAAGCTGGTCATCACAAACACTCTTTTCCAACAACACAACAGGCGATTCTACACATGGAAATTACCAAACGGGCAATACCGGAATCAGATTGATTATGTTCTCTGCAGCCAAAGATGGAGAAGCTCTATACAGCCAGCAAAAACAAGACCTGGAGCTGATTGTGGCTCTGATCATCAGCTTCTCATAGCAAAATTCAAGCTTAAACTGAAGAAACTAGGAAAAAACACTGGGCTAGTCAGGTATAATCTACACCAAACCCCCTGTGAATACACAGTGAATGTGAAGAACAGATTTAAGGAACTTGATTTGGTGGACAGAGTGCCTGAAAGACTATGGATGGAGGCTCAAAACATTGTACAGGAAGCAGTAACAAAAACCATCCCAAAGAAAAGGAAATGCAAGAAAGCAAAGTAGCTGTCCAATGAGGCCTTACAAATAGAAGAGAAGGGCAACAAAATGCAAGGGAGATAGGGAAAGTAACAGAAAATTGAATGCGGACTTCCAAAGAATAGCAAGGAGAGACAAGAGGGCCTTCTTAAATGAACAGTGCAAAGAAATAGAACCTCTTGATGAGGGTGAAAGAGGAAAGCACAAAAATGGTCTGAAGCTCAACATCAAAAAAACTAAGATCATGGCCACTGGTCCTATCAGCTTCTGGCAAACAGAAGGGGATGAAACAGAGGCAGTGACAGATTTAACTTTGTTGGGCTCCATGATCACTGTGGTTGGTGAAAGCAGCCACAAAATTAAAA